CCTGGCCATGGCACCCAAATTATTTGGTCAATCATTAGTCTAGAAGTATTAGTCTAGATGGTATTTTTTTAAATGAGATTAACATTTAATACAGTGGACTTTGAGTCAAACAGATTACTCTCCATGACTGGGGCAGGCCTCATCGAATCAGTTTAAGGCCTTAGTGGAACAAAGACTGACCACTCAGAACAAGAAAGAATTCTGTCAGCAGACTGCTTGTGGAGTCAAACTGCAACTCTTCCCTGGGTCTCCAGCCTGACAGTCAACCCTGCAGATTTTGGACTTACTAAGCTTCCACAACTACATGAGCCAATTCCTTAATATAAATCTCTCAGTCAATCTCTCTTTCTCCTCCTCCTCCTGCCCCCTGAGAGAGAGAAATACATACATACAACCTATTGGTTCTGTTTCTCTAGAGAACCCCGACTATTAATACAGTAGATGTTGTTCCCTATTTTACCACTGAGAATAATGACAGTCTGACAGGACCCATTCTCCTTCTCCATTACATCGCACAGTAAAATGTGTGACTGGACTCACATTCTAGCCTGAGGGACTCCAGAGGGAGGTGAAAGGTAATAAGCAGTACAACACTGTAACCACAAAAGGAGTCCTTTATGACACTGGGATCATACAGGTCCCCAGAGCCTTAACGTGCCTGATCGATATACTATCCTTTTTCTGATTCGGTTATTTCATGTAAAAGAAATTAAATATTCCTATTAAATCAACAATATTTGAAGACTCTGAAAAAGGAAGAAAAATAACTGGTAAAGAATGAAAGTAAAATAAGAAAAATTAAAAATGATTTATGTCAATTAAATGATGTTAGTCTTTGTTTAAGTTCTCTTTGGATATTCATGCATTCACTCCCTCAACAACTACATTTTGTGCTTTATACTTTTTTATAGTATAGTAGTAATTACGTAGGATGAAAAAAGACTAATTAAATGGCCCTAAAGAAGTCAAAGTTTCACAGAAGAAGTGGTATTTCCACTGGAATAGAAGTATGAGTTTAACTAGTAGAGAAGAGAAATGGTATTCCAGAGAGGATTTCTGACATGGTAAACTTCACTTGAATTTGTGTTCTAGGTTGCTAAAAGTGTAAGTGTGTGGGAGTGGGGAGGATATAAAAGCTGGGAAGACCAACTGGGGTTATGTGGTAAGGAACAGTGGATTCCATGACAAGGAGTTTGGCCTTTATCCTGTAAGCAATCAGATTTATGAAGGATTTCTAAGCAGGGGAGGGACAAGGCCAAAGGCTAAGCCTTTTCACAGAGACCACTGCATAAAACCATATCTGCCCACTGTGTGATATAAGGCCAACTGGAACCAGCCTGGTCACCTGAACAGAAATAACCACCGATAAAGAAATCATTATAAAGTTTGATAAAATTAAACCTTGAATAAAAACTAAGCCTTATAGACTTAGTAAGTTTATTATTAAAAGACATAAAAGTATATCATATGCTCTAATTAAAAATATTAAGGTTGAGTTTACACATAGTCAGCCCCAACTATAAAAATCTATGGTCCAGAAATTGGCAACTACTATGATTAGGTAATAAATATATATGTGGAAATTTTTCTCAAAAAAATGAAATCAAACTAATTGGAGTTGATGTAGTGAAAATTATTATTATGGTAATAAATACATATGTGTAATCTGTGTCCTAAAATATAAAGTAAATATAAACCAGTGGGCAAAAGGTGGCTGGGTAAAGCCAAACAGATTCTGCAAATTACCAAAAATGGAAAAAGGAACAAATTATATTTCTAAACAGCGAAGTGGCCAACAAAGGAATCTACAACAAAGGAATATAAAACAGGAACTAACAGATCATTCATTCCCTTCCATCCTTTCATTCCCACGTTTTCTCCTGATAATTCTCTTTTTCATTATTCCCAATGGGATTTTAGAGATCTTCTATTCCCATAGTTTCCCCCTCAATTTTACTTTAGCAATAGAACTTTGAGAATAGTTATACCTAATATCCCAGTATACAAAACAGATAAAAGCAGAGAGCTCCAGTAGAAAGAGGTCAGGGAGAGAGGGGCTGCTGAATCAATTTGAACTAATTTGGCCTCCACTTCAGCCTTTATGTACCTTCTCTGAGACAGCTCCCCAAAGAGTCTTTAATTTTTCTCAGTAAAGTATAAAACACATTGGTCCTTGTCCTTTCCTCTCAATTTACAAATGAGGAAACTGTGCCCTAGAGAGTTAATTTAAGGTAGTTGCCTGAGAAAAACACTTCTATTTCCTGGCACCTCTGTTAAAATTAAAATGCTTTCTCCTCCTCACAGACTCAAATTTCTAGGTTAAAAATTGTTTCTGATAAGTTATTCCACAAGCTTCTGATATCTCTCCATCCCAAATTCCTATTCAAGATTCACACAGGTGTGTAACCGCACAATAAGTGCCTGAGGCCAGATACTCTGCTAGGCACATGTCATCTGCTCTCTTTTAACCATCACCGCAACCCCAGGAGATCAAGAAAGTAAGCTCAGAGAGGTACTGTTACCTGCCTGAAGTCACAGAGGTAGCAAGGTGGAATCCTGTTCTGACTCCCTAAAGTCAAGATTCAGGCTCTTGCACTGGTTTCTAATCCCAGTCTTTTCCAAATCTTTGCCTATCTTTATACAGGCTTCCAGAAATGCAGAACTGTCATTTCACATAGGATGTACTTTTCCATCCAGACCTGTGGGGAAGGTCCCACGCTGCAGCCAAGCACAAAAGCATCAAGCCTATCTTAAAACTCCAAACTCAAGTTACAGACCATAAAGAGGCTAACCCTCACTTCCATCCCAAATTTTGATATATTCCTACAACTTCCTTTAAAATCATAGGCTACATGTGTTCATTCTTATGGGGAACAGGGACTGTCAAAAATTCTTAATAACAGGGCTACAAAATCAACTTTGAGTTGATTCTAAGATGACACACTGGCTTTTAGGCTGGATACATATCCGGTATCATGTAATAGGTAAAGATATCAAAATTTGTATTTATGGGTTGCCTTGGGGCAAAAGATGACTGTCACCACATACTAGGGGCCAGAGTTGCATTCAATAATTTGAATTTGGGGGAAGGTCAAGGGATTTTGCATTGGGGCATCCTCTGGGAGCAAAGGGAGTTCAAGTGACTGATTACAAAAGAATCTGAATCAAGAGTATGAAGCCAGGACTACTATCAAATTATTGGTAATGGGAGGAGAAATTTTAAACAGAACTGGGACTTGAGGCCACCGTCTGGGAAGTGTGAGCCAAAGACCAGAGAGATCCCAGGCATTTAGGGGTCTGAATTTCGGCATGGGCTCTGCTGCCCAGGCTCTGCGGAGCGGAGGTCCCGGCGGTTGGGCCTGGGACTGCGAAGCCCCCTTCCCCCCTTACCTTCTGTTGGAAGTAGAGAACCGAGTAGTTCTTGGCTACAGCGGGGCGGGATGTACGGCTAGTTGGCAAATGCAGGCTGCCGAGGGTCTTTAAGGCCGGTCGGAGGGTTATGGTGGCCCCAGGCGCTAGGAATGCCAGGAGCAGGAGCAAGAGGGCTCGGCGGCCCATGGCTCAGGCTGGCAGCTGCAGTGCGGGTGGGAAGGCGGTAGGGAGACTGGCACAAAAGCCAGCCTTAAGCCCGGCCCAGCCCGCAGCTCCGCCCGCCACTACAAGCTCCTCCCCGTGAAAACCCAAAGCCAGCCAGCTCCTCAACGACGCCGCCCAAACTCCAGCCACACTGCCCCCATCCCCGAGGGCACTGCCTCCACTCCACTTCCCTCTCGTGCCATCCGCTCCTTAGAGCTCATCTTCATTGAGTTCACACCCCAAGTCTGCCCTTACCATGCCAGGGCCGCCTCCTACCTCATTGCGGTATCCCATCCCCATTTGCAAGCGTCCCCCCAAGCCCATCTCTTCTCTGAGTCGCCCTATATCCCTATCTTCATCATCACCCGTCAAAACCGACCCTGGCCACCTCAGTTCCATGGTGACACCTGCTCCGCAAATTTCACATAATGGTAATAAAAATCGCTACCATGACGATGTATTGACGGTTCACTACATGCCAGTATAGCACTAAGCATGAAGGCACACACATCATCTCATCTAACTCAATCATGACAGCAATCTTGTGCCTCCGGCATGATTGTTATTCTCAATTACCGAGAAGGAAACTGAGGCTCAGAGACGTGCGGGGACTTGCACTGAGTCACTCAGATAACAGGAAGTGCAACACAGCTTCGCAGACTGCTCGGTCCGGCTGCAAAGGCTACACTCTGCCTTGCACCCTGCCTCCATTATGCCAGCCCAACCACCCCTATGGTACTCTCCTCTTGAATTACCCAAATCTCCGAGTCGCCTGCACAACTCACCCCCTACGGAGGTTGTCGGGGCCTCATACATAGCCCCTGAATCCCGCGGTATTCAGCCCCTTCTTCCAGGTTACGCCCCTTTCCTCTCCTGGCACCTAGCAACCCACTTCAAGCCCCGCCTCCCTCCCGCCCAGGACCTTCTGCGGCGGTCCTCGTCCCTCCCTCCGCCCGGGGTCCTGCTACTCGCTGCCCCGCCAGGACAGCGCCCCCTCCTGCCTTCACGGATCCGCCAACTCTGATGACCCCGCTTCCATTCCCAGTCACGCCGCCAGAACCCAGTCAGAGGGACGCTCCGGCCCGCTCCCACGCCCTCCAGCGATCCCTACGCCCAAGTGGCTCAGAGCCACCCCCAAACCGACTTTACAGACTGTACTACTGCTCCACTAGTCGAAGAAGAAAATCTCCCAAACCCTGCCTCTGCCCCCAGTTTGAGAAATAGGGTTGTTGCTAAGTGCCGCGAGGATTTCGTGGCTCGTCTGCACCCTGTGCGGCGCCTTCTTCTGATTGGCTCTGAGGAGCCACGGCCAAAACGTCACCTCCGGCGGAAGAGGACGCGGGGAGATTCGATTGGAGAGTTCTTGGCGAGCCGCTGAGTCCGGCCAGTCTGCGTCACTGTGCGTCGCTTGGGCTGGCTGCAGGTCTTCTACCCCAGGTGAGGAGCTGGGTAAAGAGGTTCTCGGGGCGCTCAAGGGCTGGAGACTCCTAAGGAGGTCATTAACTTCATTATGAATGAGACTCAGAGCCCTGCACTTTTTCCTGTTTTTTCAGGACTCATTCTTCTCTATAAAAGGGTGGCCATAGGCCGGGCGCGGTGGCTCACGCCTGTAATCCTAGCACTCTGGAAGGCCGAGGCGGGCGGATTGTTTGAGCTCAGGAGTTCGAGACCAGCCTGAGCAAGAGCGAGTCCCTGGCTCTACTAAAAATAGAGATAAATTAATCAGACAACTAAAACTATATAGAAAAAATTAGCCGGGCATGGTGGCACATGCCTGTAGTCCCAGCTACTTGGGAGGCTGAGGCAGAAGGATCACTTGAGCCCAGGAGTTTGAGGTTGCTGCGAGCTAGGCTGACGCCACGGCACTCTAGCCTGGGCAACACAGTGAGACTCTGTCTCAAAAAAATTAAAAAAAAAAGAATTCAGGTTTTGTACCTATTAAACCTTGACATGGTTATGAGACATCCAAATACAGTTGGCTCTCAGGTAAGCAGTTGAGATACAGAAGTCTGGAGCTTGCATATATTGTTTATATCCCTTTATTGATAGTTATACGTCGTCTGTCTGAGCCAGTAGATTATAAATTCCTTGAGTACAGAGCTTATTTCTTTCCATCTCTAACCCTCTCCATCTATCTCTGTCCCATTCTCCATCCCTGTCATAAATGCCCCATAAATGATAGCATCAATGGACAAACTGTGTTGTATTCACTAAGATTTTCCAGATTAATGTTTTCAAAGTATTTTTCTTTTAACCAACATTTCTCCTTTCACTGGAGGTTTTGTCTCTTTGTTTTTTGTTTATTTAATTTTCAGTCACCTGCCTGTCTTCTTTCCTTTCTAGAATTTTCATTTTAATGTCAGTAAACTAGTTTTTAGGGATTTGTTATGCCTGCATTTAGAAAAATTAGACAAAACATGTGCCCTTGAAGGAGACTGTTAGAGAGTATTAAGAAAACAATTCAAAATAGCCACTCTTTCCATAGGCCCTCTTGGCCTATAAAATATGAAATAGGAAGTCTGAGAGCAACAAGGTGACAAAGATTTTCTTGCAAGATAAGAACAGTTGGGGAAGGAATTAAGAAAGGGAGAAGAGTTAGTCATACCTCCTTTTCCTTATGTCATTAGAACTGGGGACTAGTTTTTTAAAGGGGTAATTTCATCCTTTGGGCAGAGTCTTAAATACAAATAGTTTCTTTAGTGTAAAGCTTAAGCCAAGAGTGTAATGGACTAGAAATACTGGTGATCTACTACTCATCAGAAGGCATGAGTTGCAAACCTCATTCCACTTGCTTCTTGACCTTCAATTAGTTATTTGATTTCTCTGAGTGGATCAGATAATGATGTAAAAGCATTTTGCAAACTGTAAAGCAGGCAAATGAACCCGACTGGATTATAAACTTTAGGATCCACATTGTACATGTCTCTATCTTCTCTTCATCCCCATCCACATATGCCAATTCACATTAAATACTTCATTGGATTTTTTTCTCCCATATCTTACATTTAATAAGAATTATTCTAGATTTTCTAATCCAACCCAATTATTATAGATTTTTTCAATCTAACTCAAAGGATAAAAAAAGTGTGTTGGTATGTGTACATATATGGGCATGGTTTTTCATAGATTATTAAGGCGCCTTCTAAGAACTTGGTTATGAGGGAGTTAAACTGGAAGATCAACAAAAACGGATTGGAGCAAAGAATTGCAAAATAATCTAAAAGAGGCTGAGATGTTCTCAGGCCTTGGGATTTAACTATAACAATATTAATCGAAGTGTTGTTCACCATCATAGAGTCTCAGTGACTAGGCCAGTGGTTTTCAAGTGTGGACAACTTACATGACCATTACCTGGGTACTTGGGCCTTCATCCCAGACTTACTGAATGAATCAAATGCTGGAGTTGGAGCCCAGCAATCTGTTTTATCGAGCCCTCTAAGTGATTTTGATGTATGATAAAGTTTGAGAAGAACTTGGCTATCATGAAAATCAATGAGTTTATATGTTTGGTCCCATTGACAAAAACCATCTCTAGAGTGAAAAGGATTAACGTGATTCCATTAAAGAGTTGATTCAACAAACGGCTCTTCAAACAACTTTCTGTTTATAATTTGAGTAGAACATATAGTTATGTCCCCTCCAAAAATGGCTTCTGATATGTCCCTTCCCTGTGATGGTTTCATGTAAATTAGTGAAGCATCTTTGGATTATGGTTTAACTCCCCAAATGGCTTGACTAGATAGAGAGAAAGCAAGTGTTCTGGAGTATTCAATAGTAAATTAAATAGGCACTATAATGTGGACCACCTGGACCCCATAGTTTATAAGAGCCTTTATTCCTGGACATTGACCTAGGCAATCTCTGTGCTTCCAGAACAAAGGCCAGCTGAGGCCCTAATTAGTTCCCATCAACCTGCCCCTGCTTATACTTTTCTCTCTCTTTTCACCCCAACCTTATTATTTCCACTTTTGTATATGAAAGATTTAGAAGAACCAAGGTTTTCTTTGTATGTTATTGCTAAGTTCCCTACTCAGTATTTTTTTTTTTAAGAGCCAGGGTCTCTGTCACCCAGGCTGGAGTGCAGTGGTGTGAGCATAGCTTGTGGCAGCCTTGAACTACTGGGCTCAAGCAATCCTCCCACCTCAGCCTCTGGAGTAGCTAGGACTACAGGCATGTACTACCACCCCAGCTAATTTTTTTTATTTTTTGTAGAGATAGGGTCTCACATGTTGTCCAGGCTGGTCTCGAACTCCTGGCCTGAAGGGATCCTCCTACCTCTGCCTTCCAAAGTGCTGGCTGGGATTACAGGCGCGAGCCACCGCAACTGGCCTCTACCCAGTATTTTTATTATATTCATTGATTTTTCTAATTATAAAAGTGATACATTTAGACAATATTTTAAATATAAAGGAAATATTTTAAATATAAAGCAAATAAAAATCACTATTAATACCACCCTCTAAGAGAAAATACTTTTTAAAAATAAGATTATATGTATTCCTTACTATCCTCTTTCCCCATCCTCCCAAGCAAAAACTAGATCAGTCCCCTTGTTATATTTGCTCATGGTATTATTACATTTTGTTTATAGAATTTATCAGAATTGCAGTCAGTTTTTTGTGTGATAATTTGATGTCTGTCTTGCTCTGGGTAGGGGCTGTGTCCATTACTTCTGTTACCCCCCACACCTGGCATTTAGCAGCTGCACAATAAATAACTGATGAATAAGTAAATATACTGAGCTCATTAAAATGAAGTATGATTTGCTGACTGTGATGGAACTGAATGAAATGTAATGCTATATCATCCTTCCCAATAAAATTGAGAAGAAAGATAAATTGCAAGAAATGCCACATGTGAAATTGTTCTCAAGTCTATCATCAATGTTTTCCTAATTTTAGTATTTAACTCATTCCTGGTACTTCATTCAATTATCTATCAAACATGCATTCCCCATACTGCAAATCAAGCAGTAGAGAAAGTTAGAGATATTAATAAAACAAACTAGGTGACAAGTATCATGAAAAAAAATACTCTGAAAACAACAAAGGGCATAACTAACTGTCTAGAAGGGTCTTATTGTGTTATTGTCCACCAGACACTAAATGGGAAGTCTTTTTGCCATTTCCTGGGGTTCACTATTTTTACAAATAGTAAAGATACTATATTGACCCCTTTAATTTCACTTCTCAAATTTGCTGGTAAGGTATAATTTTTTTAGATATACAATCATAAAGTTTTCTTAGACATATTTGATCCACTAGAGGGCAGTAAATCCTTAAATAAAGACAATTTAACCAACCTTTCTTTAAAAATAGGAAATTAGTGCCAGCACAATTAATTTAGAAATAAATCCCCAAATTTCCTGTTTATTTAAGTTTGTCATGTATTGATGACTTGTCTGCCCAATTGGACAGTAAACTTTTTAGGACAGAAAGTGTCTTATTTTTAATTGTTTAACCCAAAATACTTAGCATAGTGTCCTAGTCATGTTACAGGTTTAATCCATTTCCTAAAGTTTGAATTTGACAACAATTGTGTAAGGAATATGATTTGATGAATGTCCATATAGTTGTGGTACAATATAAAATTGTATTTTAGAGCCCTAAAATAAATATTAAACAAGATACTTTATATGAAACTACTCTGTGTACTCCGTATATAAATATAAGAGTATTTTATGATTTGGTAAAATTGTGTTTTATATTTCATGCTATATGGTAAAACTGTGGCTTAGGAAGAGGAAAACTGCAAATCATGAAGAAGGTTCATAGCTGAAGGTCAGATTGACAATTTTTGGCACTGGAGATGCAAAGAAATGGTCCTTCTAAGATCTTATTCTAGTTCTGGAAAAAGACATATTAAACAGATAAATTTAATATCATGTGGTAAATGGTAATGAAAAAGTAGGGTCACTTAACCTTAATCTAGAAAAGCTTCCTGGAGAAGACAACCCTGGGAAGGATCTTAAAGAAAAATGAGCATTAGCCAGGAGAATGAAAGAGCATTTTAGAGAGAAGAATGGAAAAAAAGCAAAGTCACAGAAATGTGAACCATACTATAGGTGTAAGGCAGCAAGGAACACAACTCAGATTACTTTTTGGTGTTTCCTTTAGCGTAAATTACTAGCACATAAAGAGCAAGGGAGAAAGTCAAGAGATTAGGCATTAGGGATAATAAAACCAAATGGACGATAGGATGAAATACACAAAACAAAAGGTAAGGCTATAGGAGTACAGTAGTGTAAGGTATAGAAAAAGGAAGAAAAGCCTTCCTCTTTTTGTTAATAAAGACTTTCGAGGTGGGATGGGGGCTTTAAATGAAAAAAGAAGAAAATCCTGGTATCACAGCATATGCCTATGTTATAAAAATTTTCTTAAATTGCAAGATTATGCTTACAGTTTTTCATTCATTCAGTGAATATTCGTTGTGAACTTAACAATGTGCTGAACACTGTTCTAAGCACTGGGGATACAGCAGAGAACAGTATAGACCAGGTGCCTGTCTTCATGAAACTTTCAGACCGGTGTGGGGTAGAACAAATAATATGTAAGCAAACGCACATACAGGATGACTACAGAGCATGATTAATATGGTGAAGGATAAAACAGGTGATGCCTTAGAAACGAAGAGGAAAAAGGTATCTACTCGAGATAAAGTAGGGCTTTCTAAGGAGATAACAAAGTTAAAGATTGAAGGATAAGAAAGAGCCAGCAACACCTAAGGAAAGAATATTCTGGGCAAAGAAAACAATGAGAACAAAAACCCAGAAGGGAAATTGTTTGGTGTGTTTGAGGAGCTGAAAAAAGGCCAGCATGGCTTGAAGTGCAACCATAAAGGGGGAGAGTGATAGAAAATGAGGTCAGGGAGATGGGCAAGGTCTAGATGACCCAGGGCCTCACAAACCATTGTAAGGAATTGAGGTTTCATTCTAAATAGCAAGATTTTAAGCAGGTAAGAGATGACATTTTCAGGAGAGAGCTTTGCCCTATTTTATCTCCCCTGGCTCACAGGTAGTTGTACCACTATGCTATATCCCACCGCAAACTGGATTTTATAGATGTGGAAGGAAGATGCCTTTGTTGACATACATTCCATCATTTGTTGTGTTAAATAAAAGTTATAGGAGGCCATTGTTTTGGACTAAGCTCTTGCACTAGGCCCCAACAGACCAGACTAAAAACCAAAATAGTCACTGATACTAAAGTTCCATGTCAACAAACCAAAACTAAGTCGCTACCTGACCTTCCTAGAAATCAGGAGAAAGAAATAGCCAAATTTCCCAAAGTTCCCTCTGCCTTTAATCCTTAAAACAGAAAGTTACTTGATATTAGCCAGTTATTTCTCTATTCTGTTTCCCTGTCCCCACCTAACAGAGAAAGTAACTTGGAAATGACCAGTTTGCTTTTTGTTCTTTGTTTCTGCTTTACTCAGCCCTTCTGTGTCTATGAAACCAAATTTCTCTGCTTGACACAGTGGAATTTATTCTATTTTGTAGAATGAAGTGTTGCCCAATTCTAGAATTGTAATAAACCCAATTAAGATCTTTAAATTGTGATTTTGCCTTTTGACAGTTGCATTGGCAAGGAATTTGAGGTTTTAGCAAATATTAATAGCAGTTTTCTGTGACCCTTCTTTCTGCCTTTCTCTTCTGTCATCTACTCTACCTCTTTCAAGCTCCACTTCTAATTCTCTTGCTCTTTCCATTATATCTGCAGTGATTTTCTTCACTGAAGTCTACAACCTCTCAAAGTCATCCATGACGGTTGAAATCAACTTTTTCCATACTTCTGTTAATGTTGATGTTTTGACCTCCCCCTGTGAATCACAAATGTTCTTAATTGCATCTAGAATGGTGAAGCCTTTTCAGAAGATTCTCAATTTACTCTGCCCAGATCCGTCAGAAGAATCACTGTATATTGCAGCTACTGTCTTATGAAATGTATTTCTTAAATAATAATACTTAAAAGTTGAAATTACTCCTAATCTATGAGCTGCAGAATGGGTTTTGTGTTAACAGGCTTGAAAACAACATTTATCTCCTTATATATCTCCATCAGAGTTCTTGGGTGACCAGGTGCTTTGTCAATAAGCAGTAATATTTTGAAAGAAATCTTTTTTCCTGAGCAGTAGGTCTCAACAGTGGGCTTAGATATTCAGTACACCATGCTAAAAACAGATGTGCTATCATTCAGGCTTTGTTATTCCTTTTATAGAGTACAGGCAGAGTAGATTTAGCTTAATCTTAAGCACTCTAGGATTTTTGTAATGGTAAATGAGCATTGGCTTCAACTTAAAGTCACCAGCTGCATTAGCCCCTAACAAGAGAGTCAGCCTGTCTTTTGAACCTCTGAAGCCAGGCATTGACTTTTCCTCTCTAGCTGTGAAAGTCCTAGATGACATCTCTTTTCAATATAAGACTATGTCATCTACATTGAAAATCTGTTGTTTAGTGTAGCCATCTTTTTTTTTTTGAGACAGAGTCTCACTCTGTTGCCCGGGCTAGAGTGCCGTGGCTTCAGCCTAGCTCACAGCAACCTCAAACTCCTGGGCTCAAGCGATCCTACTGCCTCAGCCTCCCGAGTAGCTGGGACTACAGGCATGTGCCACCATGCCCGGCTAATTTTTTCTATATATATGTATATATTTAGTTGTCCAGATAATTTCTTTCTATTTTTAGTAGAGATGGGGTCTCGCTCTTGCTCAGGCTGGTCTCAAACTCCTGACTTTGAGCGATCCGGCCTCCCAGAGTGCTAGGATTACAGGCGTGAGCCACTGCGCCCGGCCTAGTGTAGCCATCTTCATCAATTATCTTAACTAGATCTTCTGGATAACTAGCTGCAGCTTTTTCATCAGTACTTGCTGCTTCATCGTGCACTTTTGTGTTGTGGAGGTGGCTTCTTTCCTTAGACCTGATAAACAACCTCTGCTAGCTCCAACTTTTCTTCTGCAGCTTTCTCACCTCTCTCAGCCTTCATAGAATTAAAGAGAATTAGGACCTTACTCTGGCCTGATTAGGCTTTGGCTTAAGGGAATTCTGTGCCTGCTTTGATCTTTTATGCAGACCACTAAAACTGTCTCCATCTCATCAATAAGACTGCTTTGCTTTCTTCTCACTCGTGTGTTTACTGGAGTAGCACTTTTAATTTTCTTCAAGTACTTTTCCTTTGCATTTATAACTTGGCTAACTGTTTGGCATGAGAGGCCTAGGTTTCCACCTATCTCAGCTTTCAATATGCCTTCCTCACTAAGCTTAATTATTTCTAGCTTTTGATTTAAAGTGCGAAACATGCAACTTACTCCTTTGACTTGAACACTTAGCAGCCATTGTAGGGTTATTATTGGCTTAATTTCAACATTGTTGTGTCTCAGGGAACAGCCAGTTGGTGGAGCATTCAGAACACACACAACATTTATCAATTAAGTTTGCTGTCTCACATGGGTGCAGTTCATGACACCCCGAAACATTTACAATGGTGACATCAAAGATCACTGATCACAGATCACCATAACAGATAAAATAATAATTAAAAAGTTCTAAATATTGAGAAAATTACCTAAATGTGGCACAGATACACGAAGTGAGCACATACTGTTGGAAAAATGGCTCTGATAGACTTGCTTGACACAGGGTTGGTTACCACAAACCTTTAATTTGTAAAAATGCAATTATCTGTGAAGCACAATAAAGCAAAGCATAATAAAATGAAGTATGCCCACATTTTATTGTTTTAATTCTCTGATATGATTTATACAAGGATCTTAAAATACTGAGCTTTCCTTTGACCATGTAACATTTTTGTATTTCTACTTACAAAACCCAAAGTCTTTTTTTTCTCTTCAAGCTATATAAAATGTGCACACTGGAATCTAATTAAGTGACTTTTCAGCTAAAAAGAGCCATTTCCCACTAAGGTAGTTTCTTTTAAAAATTCACGTATGTTCACATACAGGTTGAGTATCCCTTATCTGAAATGCTTGGGATCAGAGTGTTTCAGATTTCAATTTTTTTTAGATTTTGGAATATTTGCATGTACATAATGACATATCTTGGGAATAAGACCGAAGTCTAAACACAAAATTTATTTATGTTTCTTGTACACATAGCCTGAAAGGTAATTTATACAATATTTTTTAATAATTTTGTGTATGAAACAAAGTTTGTGCTAAGTATTTATGTATGGAATTTTCTACTTGTGACATCATGTTGGCACTCAAAAAGTTTTGGGTTTTGGAGCTTTTCAAATTTTGGATTTGGGGGTTAGGGATGCTCAACCTATAATGTCCTTCCTATAAATGGTAGCCACAAGTTCTGTATCTTCTTGTAATGGTGTGAAAAAAGCTAACATCTTCCTGAATCAGTAGGCTGGAGAAACAACATACAAGTATGTGCTTGAGCCACTCTGTTTTAAATATTATTTTCTTTCTTTTAATACCTTTAAGCAGAAAAAGAAAATTTTCCAATACATCGACACTAGCTTCACCTTGAAAGTGAAACAAAAGACATTTATTGGGCTTGCAGTGGAGGTTAAATGGTTTTCTTAAGAAATGGGTGTGTGCGTACTATGAACAATTTGTCATTCATCCCAATGGCTATTTTATTTTGCAGGCCACAGTGTGAACGCATGAATAAAAGAAGAAAATTTCTTCTTGCCTCAGTACTTGCTCTCCAGAATTCAAGTTTTATATATCCATCATGTCGAAAGTGCTTCTCTAGGGTAATCCTAGTCTCCAAAAGGTAAAAGTAAAGCCTGTAAGCATTAGAGAGGAAATACAGGTGTACACTGTAGATTCCCTGTGGCTCAAGGGCAAGTAAGAACTAAATTCACTATACCAGGACATTAGATTCTCTCAGGGGTTGGTTCTTCTGTAAATCCCAGAACAGAATTGGATGGTTATCTTCTATTACTAAAAAAGAGTCTTAAATTACTGCCAAGTCTTCACTAAATACCTACCTCAGAGAAGAAAAATAACTTCTCAGAGAGTAAGTCCCAAACATGGTGTAAAACCTTAGCTCACGTCTGGGATAGCCCTGGGAATAATATAGAAGTTTTTTGTTTATTATTTGTTTATTTTTGCATGACCCAGAATATTTTTTAATATAAATAAATAAACTCCTTAAGAGCAGAGAGTACGTTATAGTAATCTCTATCCTTCAGCAGCTAGAAAGGTGTTTGGCACATAATCTGAGCACCATAATTTTTTATTATGGTGCTCAGATGCAGGCCAAGTATACCTGAAAGCCTAAAATCTTCCTCTGATCTTTGTAGAGTAGAAATGAGTGGTTAGGTTTGGAATTTCTCAAGAATAGATAAGGATATCTAGTAAGTACCTAGTGGTATGTAAGAAAGAGTAGTGTGCCAGCAGTGTTAACTACTTAGCGTTAAATAACGAGGCTGACAGGAATAAGCAGTTCTAATTCACATCTAGATCCTGAGATCCTTGCAGTAGTTATCACTGCTCACTGAGTACTTTCTCAAGTACTCATTTGTAAGCTTTCTGAGAAAGACCTTGTTTTTGTTATTCTTCATTAAATCCTTAGCATCCAGTCTGTGGCTTAGTTCATAGTTCATAGAAATGCTCAACAAATGTTTGTTAAATGACAGTATGATAGTGTCTAGGTTGTCTTAGATTTACCCATTTTCAGGTCCCTACCTATCTGTCATTTGAAACAACTAAAACCCATGGGCTATTTGCCTTTGATCAAGATTTATTCTTAGAAGCAGTGTGGTGTACAAAAAGCCCTCACTTGATGTTGTCAATAAGTTCTTGGACACTGCAATTTTAAGCGAAATGACATATAATGAAACCAGTTTTTTTTCTCACTAACATTATAAGGAAATTACATTATTTGAGGACCTACCATACATCATTTCACTTAAAGTCACAGTGTCTAAGAACCTATTGATGACATAAAGTGAGAACTTACTGTAATGGAACAATTTCAAGCTTCAGAGAATACAGCAGTGTTGCAGATAGGCTCTGACACTCAAACTGTATGACCAGGGGCAAGATATTTAACTTCTGTGAGTCTAATTACTCATTTGTAAAGTGGGATAATTGTAAAGTTAGAGATAATGCACAGAAATAATACATGACATGTATTAGAATTTCCAAAATGGTAGCTATTATTATTATAAATCTATTATAAGTATACTTTACCTATTGCAGTATATTATGGTCATTAAAAGCATAATTCTCTGGAGCCAGACTGCCTGGTTCAAATTCCAATCCTGCCAATTATAGTTGTGTGGCCTTGGGCAAGTCACTTTAATTATCTGATCTTCAAAAGGAGGAAAGTAATATCATCTGCTTCATAGGGTTTTTGTAAAGGTCATAGGCTAGGTTTGGTGGCTCACACCTGTAATCCCAGCATTTTGGGAGGCAGGAGGATTGCTTGAGGCCAGGAGTTCAAGACCAGCCTGGGCAAGATAGCGAGACCCCATCTCTATAAAAAATAAGAAATATTAGCTGGGTGTGCTGGCACACATCTGTAGTCCCAGCTACTCAGGAGGCTCAGGCAGGAGAATTGCTTGAGCCCAGGAGGTCGAGAAATGGCAGCGAGGTATGATTGGGCCACTACTCTCCAGCCTGGGCAACACAGCAAGACCCTGTCTCAAAAAAAAAAAAAAAGACCAAATGAGTTACTATCCATAACATGCTTATGTCTGGTACATTATCAGTAATATGTATGTATGTATGTATATATAAATTTTTTTGAAGTTATTTCTTTTAAAGATAAAACCAAAAATAAAATTTAGGTTGAACAATAATGCCATTGTTACCTCTTTAGACTGGTAATACCAGTAGATAACATTAATGATTGTTTACTATATATAGCCACTATGCTAGCAGCTTTACAGGCCTTATATCTTTTGATACAGCAGCCCTATGAAGTAGATGATGTTTTTTTTTCTATTTTTTCTTTTTATACTTAAAAATTGTAAACAGTTAAATGAGATAACTCACTACCTTCGGACCAGCCTGTAGATGCTATTTTAATGTCAACCTTTAAAGGAGATAGCTGAAACTTAGAAAAATTAAGTAACTTGCCCCAAATCACACAGTCAGCTAGTTAGGGGAAGAAACATATTCCAGCCTAAATAATCTGACTGCTGTCTACATTCATAATCACCATATTACCTCCAAATTAGCAGTGGAATCTGTATGCAGAATGACACCTTCCCCTCTCTTTCCCAGAGCTTAAAATGCCCTGGGAAAGGAGCTCTGATTTGACCATCGAAGCACATAAAACCCACAACACGTGATATTTGCCTGTGGAAACACAGTTCCTGGAAATATAACCTGTTCTCTGCATATATTACATAGATAATACTGAAAAAAAAAATTCCCGTAATTTCTGTAGCTTATTTTTTCTACTGCTGTTTCTGCTTTCCTTTTTTCTTACTTGGAATCAGTTGTAAGCCAAAAGAGGAAACAGAAATTTCTCATGTTCATTTCCCCACTGGTGTAGCCCAGCCAATTCATGACGGAGTTCCACACAGTAGCCTTTGCTGAAGATCTTAGCGACAATGAAGAGCAAAGAGACCGCTCCCTAAAGATTTTCTTTGAACCCCAAATCCTTATTGACTATGGTCATAGTAGGTATTTTGTGTTTTATGGAATTAACTTTTTTCTTTTTTTTAACCTCCAGGATTAGAGCAATGGTGGTTTTCAAACTATACATATTTTGCAGAGCCTTAGGGCTCCATGGAAGCACTTCTGGAGGGAGATAGGATTAGACCTGCAATAGTGGATAGTGCTGAGTAGTAAGTAGGCTTCCAGGGCCCCTACCTGAGCTTCAGCAAGACATACAAATATTTAAAAACACATGGTGTATAGAATAAGTTTTGTCCTTGATCTGAAGGACCTAACTAACTACATACACACACACTCACACACACATGCTCGCTCAAAAATTATGAGCAAGGGAATTTATTTATCTAGATAAGCTATCCACCCAGCACAAACAGATGCAAATTGCCCTTCTAGGTGACTTAATGGGACCCATAATCCTTTTAGTGTAGAAATCTATCTCCAACACTAATAATGTTCTTTCCTGTCTTAAAATGTGACTCATAGCTCAGAGACTACCTATCCTTTCCCCCCATCCCAACCACCCAAAAGGTTTGTATCATTTACTTAAGCAAGTCAAACTGAATTTCACACATATAGGTCATAGTTTTCTTTTGCAGGAAAAATGGTATGTGGAAGCCTTAGAGATACTTTTTTTAATGTTTGTTTATTACTTTGTACACATTCAATTTAATCTGGGTTTATAAACTTAGAAAGGACATTACATAATCATCTAGTCTGGGTATTCTTAACCTGGAATCTGTGGATAAGTCATAGGTGTCTATGAATCCTCCGGTCCCCCAAATATGTAAAATATTATGTGCTGTGTTCTGTGTGCATTTTTCTGGTGGAGAAAGTGAGTCCATTGCTTTCAACAGATTTTCAAAGGGTTTTAAGACCAAGAATATACTAAGGATCACTAATCTCATCAGTTCTACTTTTGGGCTAAATATAAGTACACCAGAAAAATAAACAAATGAAACTTAGTGTTTGAACTGGGATCAAACAAAAAAGGTACCAAATTATAACTTTTATTTCAGATAGATTCTTTCAGAGACTCCTTGAGCTCAAACCTATTTTCAAAATAATTCTAAGGCATTATTTGCCTTTTATGCTCTCATTCTCTCATGGGTACATAGTGGAGTTTCCTAGAGGCTACATGACGTGGTGTCACAACAGACTGAGCAGAGAAGCAGATGTTATTTTAGAATACATAATTGTTTTTCATAAAAATACATTCTTTATGTTAACCATGTAATAGTTCTATTATTTTTAATGAATTAATATTTTTTAGATTTCTCAGTTTTCTCACTTTCATTTAATTTCTCATTTCAGTTAGAAATATAGACAGACACTGGACCGGGCATGGTGGCTCACACCTGTAATCCTAGCACTCTTGGAGGCTGAGGTGGGAAGATCACTTGAGGTCAGGAGTTTGAGACCAGCCTGAGCGAGAGCAAAACCCCGTCTCTACAAAAAATAGAAAAATTAGCCAGGCGTGGTGGCATGTTCCTATAGTCCCAGCTACTCGGGAGGCTGAGGCAGGAGGATTGCTTGAGCCTAGGAGTTTGAGGTTGCTGTGAGCTATGATCGTGCCACAGTACTCTCGCCAGGGCAACAGAGTGAGACCCTGCCTCAAGAAAAAAAAAAGAAAAGAAAAGAAATACAGATAGATATAAGATGAACAAGTTCTAGAGATCTAATGTACAGCATGGATGGTAATGGATGTGTTAATTAATTTCATTATGGTAATCATTACACAATGTATATGTATTTAAAATCATCATGTTGTATAGCTTGAATGTATTCCATCTTTATCAGTAAATATTTTTAAATAAAAAAACTAGAGGTTTGTTGTAAAGACAAACTTGCAAATTAAAATAAACAAATTAAATTATATTATAGACTTTCTCTCCCCTGGATCCGAAGAGCAAAAACTTAGTAGAAATCAGATGCCCAATCCCAAAGTACTCATAGCAAACAAATACAGAGGTAGATATAACCCAGTTCCATAAATAGCCCAGAGTTAAAACCAAAAAATGAAAAATGATTCTGAGTACAGTATAGCTTAGCTCACTCCCAACTCTACCCTATTCTCCAAAACCAATGTGGTGATTGGGCAAATCATGAGATTTTTTCTCCCTATTTCCCCCACATCTGTGGAGGTCCAAGCCAAGGGGGATCCTTGTCTTTTCCCTCCTAACCGAGGGACATCAGAAAGAGTGCTGGGGAGAAACTGGGGAGAGGGGTAAGTGAGCAAGGAGAGCAGGAAGCCGTGGTCCCCTGCATAGTGCGCGTCTGGGGCTCTGTGGCTGCACTTCAGCCCCGGCTGGGCACAGGGCATTGAACCCAACCAGCAACGTGAAGCTGAGAGAAGAGACCCCACCGTATCGGCCATATCCTCCTTCTCCCTGTCAATGCTCTTAGGCCACAAAAACAGCAAAAAGGACCCTAATACCCGGACTTTAAACTGAAGCCCAGATGGAAAAACAAATCTGCCCTCGATCAGAGAGGAAAAATGTCACGAGAGTCAGAAAATCACCAGCATCGCATCGAAGCAGAGAGTGCTGGCACCGCCGTCCAACCACGAGCAGGATGGAAGAGGCTCACACGGGGACTCCACGGTCACACCGCATCGCAAAACGTGGGAGAAAGAAACACGCCACACAAAAGACAGAGAAAGTCAAAAGAAAACAAAATTCAAGGAGCATCAGAGAACTCGTCACAATTGTGCCATGCTGTGTGACAAGCTGATGACACATTCGAAGAAGTAATAGCTTAAAGACAAGAGCAATAAACAGGAGAATGAGATGAAAAGGGAGAGGGCATGCCCAAGGAAACACACTTAAGGAATAAAATATTCTTACTGAAATAAATAAAACCAAGACAGTGGGGATGAGAATGGAACCCACACTAATGGGGAACCCACCAGATTATTCACCAAGAAGATGTGGGGTGATTAGAGATTATCAAAGTGTAGATAATCAAAACAAATATTGTACTATAATAAGAGAAGCTAATAGATATGGAAAATGGACTAAAATGATCTAACTTAATTGCTGTCCTTGAGATTGAAAACACAACAGACATGAAAGGTACCTGAAAAATCTCTAAACTGGAAAAAACTGAATCTACTAGTTTAATGAACACGTTGGGTTCATAAAAATTGATACACAATCTTCAACACTGTGGCAATTCGGGGAATAACTTCAAGGGCAAACAGAGGACAAGAGGGCAAGTTAAGGGGGAAGATGGTCGGACCCTGACTACCCCAGTGCAATATTCAATATCTTTCATGTTCCCAACAAATAGGTAAAACACTAGATGATAAAATCTACCCAGTTAATGAAAAATCAAAGTAAATAACTTTGAAGAGATATAGAGACACAGAGAAGAGATAGGAAAAGCATGGAATCCAATCACTCTAAGCAAAAAAGATTTACAGGGCTAGAGCTATGGTGAGGTGTGTCTTCATTTCCAAAATAAAAAAAAAAAAAAGCAAACTTTTGACATTTTCTCCCAGAAAGCAATTTTTGCTGTCATAATACCTTTTGGAAGCCACCCTTTCTAAGGATTTAAGTGGTTTATCCCCTAAAAGGAGGATGTAGTATTTCTAAGAGAATTATAATATTCAAATCAAAGCTAGTTTTAAAATTCCAAATTCTTATGCATAAGTTCCCATCAGTTCTTTATTGTTCCAATTCCATGCTTGAGCTAACAGCAGGCTTGTCAGGGCACATTCCGCAGAATCTCTTCACTTCGGAGGGTGGTTACTTTGGGACTTTCTACAGCTTTTTGGATGGTACCTACTCCACTCCCTATACGGAAATGTAGTTATGACATTTCTCTGAATTATAGCTCATTTATCTTAGCAGAATGTCCAGTAGCGATCTGATGGTTAGGGTAGGCTTGGGGGAGGACTAGGAGGTGGGCTGTCTCTAAACTACTCACTAGGAGTCCTAGTCGTGAAGAGCCATAAGTGAATATCTCGTCAAGTTCCAAATATTTAAATTTATATCACTTTTGCAACCACATTGAGTGTGTGTTAAAAATATATCTGCACCTCATTGTGTGTTCGTTCATTCATTCATTTAGTAAGTGCTTATTGCATCGAGAGACATTTTCTTTAAGACCAATATTCCAAATCTTATGAAGATCTCTCAGCAGAAGTTTCTGATTGTAAAATGATTCAATGCTTTTGGTTAAAAGGGTGACATTATAATACTTCAACTATGTTGCTTTTATATGTATATTTTAATTTTTCTGTTTCATAGACAACCACTTTAGCAACTACTTTTAAAAAGTAAACATTAATCATGGTTAAATTGCTACATCTACGGCTCCCAGGAAACGGAGAAGGTCCCCAGTGAGAGGTGGGCTCAGGGGCAGACCTCAGATGCTGGAAGAGAACTTGAATGCCAAGCAGGAAGCTGAGGCCGAGGGCCTGACCTGC